TTTTTTACAGAGTCTTGCCCTGTCACCCAGGCTGAAGTACAGTGGGGCGATCTCAGTTCATTGCAACCTCTGCCTCCTGGGCTCAAGTGATTCTCCTGCCTCAGCCTCCCAATTAGCTGGGATTATAGGCACCTGCCATCACACCTGACTAATTTTTGTATTTTTAGTGGAGACAGGGTTGCTCCATGTGGGCCAGGCTGGTCTTGAACTCCTGACCTCAGGTGATCTGCCTGCCTTGGCCTCCCAAAGTGCTGGAATTGCAGGCACGAGCCACCGTGCCTGACTTCCAATAGCTTCTTGATTACAAATAACCACATTATTCTCCAAGAAACAGTAGAATGTTCTTTCATTCTTTCATTTGTATTTTTTAAATTCAAAATGTAAGGCTGAAGTTATAAGAGTAGAAGCAGTCACATTTATTGAGTGCTTACTCTGTGCTGGGAACTGTTCTAAGCATTTGCCTATAAAAACTCAGTTCTCACAGCAACCCATAAAGGAAGATACTATATTATTTCCATTTTGCAGGTAAGAAAACTGAGGCACAGAGAGGCCAACTGACCTGCTGTAAGAGAGCTTAGTAGCCAACATGGCAGGTCTTTGTGGGATCTGGGAGGCTAACCCTCCTCAGCCAGAGCTCCTGCACTATGATCTATTTTATGCCGTGGGCTTAAGATTTTATTTGATGAAAGTTTCCCTGGGCTGGAAGGGAAAAGAAAAAAAAAAAAAACTCTGGTCTTAGGTCCTCATGTTGCAAATGCTGAGACTGAGGCCCAAAGCCACAGAATCAATGATCATTTCAGCAGAGGCAGGAGAGTGGTCAGTGGCCCCGTGGGTCTGTTTGTAGCCAGTCTCCTCATGGCACTGGAAAGGAAGCCACCTACCCATTTAAAAACAAAAAACGAGAAAACACACAAGCCTACCAAATACCAGGTTTGGCTCTGGAAGAAGGGCTTCCAGGTGCAGGGGAGAGGGCTGCTGCCTGTCCCTTTGTTCCTTCTCCCTGGGCAGGAAGGAGTGTTCTGTCCCCTGGTTCTGATTGTCCCTCAAGGAGTGCTGCTCCTCCCAAAATGTCCTCCATGTGACCATAATCCCTGGCACCCAGGCGCCCTGGAGTATCCACCTCACACGTGGGACCAGCTGAAATTGGCCAAATGGAACACTGCCAGAACATGACTACCTGTTTTTCAGGCCTGGACAGTGACCCGTTACCCTAGGGCCCCACGCCTGGGTGCCTCACTGCAGCCCTGCCGTCCTCACACGCAGGACCCTCGCTCATAGTCACACCCAGCGTCTCTCTCCCACATAACCTGTTGTAATCCAGTTATTTTTAGATAAAGTTTTGTTTTCAACTATAGAAGATTACACATAGGCACATTGTGGAAAATATAGAGCATACAGGGAAAAGAAATAGGAGAAAATAAATCACCTTTTGCTCTCTTACCCAGAAATAACCACCCAAAACATAATAATGTATTCCTTACATTTGTTTAACAAATATTTACGGAGCACCAAGTATGTGCCAGTCTTTGTGGTAGGTACTAGGGACAATAGCAATGAACAGTCTTTCTGCCACAGCTAATTTTTTTTTTTTTTTAATTTATAAAGAAAAGAGGCCAGGCACAGTGGCTTACTCCTGCAAACCCAGCACTTTGGGAGGCCAAGGTGGGCAGATCACCTGAGGTCAGGAGTTCAAGACCAGCTTGGCCAACATGGCGAAACTCCATCTTTACTAAAAATACAAAAAGTAGTCAGGTGGGTGGCAGGCACCCATAATCCCAGCTACTCGGAGGCTGAGGTAGGAGAATAGCTTAAGCCTGGGGAGGCAGAGGTTGCAATGAGCCAAGATCATGCCACTGCACTCCAGCCTGGGTCACAGAGTGAGACTCTGTTTCAAAAAACAAAAAAGAAAATAAAAGAGATGTATTTAGCTCACAGTTCTGCAGGCTGGGTAATTTTTTAAAATAACTGAATTAGAGAACATATACAAAAATGGTCTTCATTTTAAACAGCATATATTCCATAATACCTTTTATAAAAATATTTGTGTTAGGCTGGGCACAGTAGCTCATGCCTGTAATTCCAGCACCTTGGGAAGTCAAGGCTGATGGATCACTTGAGTCCAGGAGTTCAAGACCAGCCTGGGCAACATGGCAAAACCCCATCTCTACTAAAATACAAAAAATCAACTGGGTGTGGTGGCACACACCCGTAATCCCTGCTACTCAGTAGGCTGGGGCGTGAGGATCTCTTGAGCCCAGGAGGTCACAGCTACAGTGAGCCCTGATTGTACCACTGTACTCCAGCCTGGGTGACAGAGTGAGACCCTGCCTCCGAAAAAAATTGTGTTATGAATATATAACAGAGAAAGCTAAAACAATTGTTCATTCACATGTTGATGGCAGTTGTCTCTAGCTGATAAAATTTGGAGTAATTGCTGGGTGCGGTGGCACATACCTGTAATTCCAGCACTTTGGGAGGCCGAGGCAGGTGGATCACCTGAGGTCAAGAGTTCACAACCAGCTTGACTAACATGGCGAAACACCAACTCTATTAAATACAAAAAAAAATTAGTCAGACATGGTGGCGCATGCTTGTAATCTGAGCTACTTGGGAGGCTGAGACAGGAGAATCTCTTGTACCTGGGAGGCGGAGGTTGCAGTGAGCCAAGTCTGCACTATTGCACTCCAGCCTGGGCAACAAAAGTCAAACTTCGTCTCAGAAAAAAAAAAATTGGAGTAATTTTTATTTTATTTTCTGTATTTCTTTATTTTTTAACATGCATTATCTTTTTAGCAATAAATTATTTTTTGTACTCATGAATATTTGTAAAATATAGAAAAGAAAAAAATGGAAGTCACCCAAAATCTTCCCTCCTGAGATAAACACCACTATTGTTATTTTGTTGAGCTTCCTAATCCCTCTTCCTACATATCCAGTTGAGATCACAGATGCACTAATGTTTAAGCACAATTAATCTGGTTTCCTGGAATTTAAAAAATTTACCCATGACTGACCAGGAGGTCCCCACGGTCCTGTTTGGGGATGAAGGAGTCCTTTGGACCTGGAGACAGAAACTCCTAGACCTGAATTCTTGGAATGCTGACTGGCCAAAGAGCGCAAATGATAACTATTTTTCAAGTCTTGATCAAGCTCCTGTTCCCAGCTGGACATCCTTGCAGGGTGGAAAACCCAGGTCATGTCCTTCAGGAGATGAAATGGTTGGAGTGGAGCACATCACAAGGTCTCTGGCCCTCATGTCCACTGAGTCAAGGACAGACAGCTGGTGCTACAGAAATCCCAGGGTGGAAAGGCAAGACCAGTCTGAGCTGAGGCAGTTGGCAAAGGCTTTCTACAGGAGGTGTGACATCAGCTTAGGCTTCTCAATAAGATGGACAAACAGGAAGGATATTCCAGGGGGGTGGGAGACACAGCAAACACCCAAAGCCAGTGTGATGGGTGGGGAAAGAGAGATGACACAGCCCCTGCACTTGGCGGGATGGAAGCCATCTCAGTACCATGATGCCTCATGGGACCTTGTCTTATCTTCACGGATGTCTTATGAAGTAGGCAAGGCAGCAGCAGAAATATCGTGTAGACACAAAATTAACAGAAATATTAGAGGATTTGTCCAAAGTCACACAGAAAGTGAGTGGTGGGTCTTCTACCTCCAGCCCCCAAATCAGAGTTCCTCCCACCAAACCACACTCTTCGCACAAAGTAAATTCTGAGAATGGCCACGAGAATGAATGCATTCCCAGCTCAGACCAGGCTGAGCTTCTCCTGCAGCTTGTGTTTGTTCCCTGCAGACAGCAGTGATGAGGACCAGCACCCCAGAGCACATGGAAAACGTCGACGGAGCCGGGGGGCTGGACACCCCCATGGGAACAGCTCACCCGGTAGGCAATAGGCCTTACCATTTTTCTTTTGCCCACTCACTCACTGTTGAGTTTCTCAGTGGGACTGAGCCTGCCTGTGTGAAGATGTTCTTCACAGCATTGTTTATGGCAGGATAAATTAGGAAGTAGCCTGACAGCAGCAGACTAGATAAAGGATGCTACACTCTGTCCTGGTGACAGCCCTGCTCTTCATCTATCGCTGAAGTGAAAAAGAAAGACACCAAATCATAGAATTAATTCCATCTCATATATGCTTTATAAAAATTCAGACATATATGGTTATAATCAAGAGTGAAAGGGAAAATGCCAAAATGTTAATAGTGGTTATCTCAGGGTAGTGGAATTGCAAGTGATTTTTATTTTCTCTTTTTTGAACTGTCCTATACTATAAATAATTTACAATGAGCATATTTCATTTTATTTTATTTTATTTTATTTTATTTTATTTTATTTTATTTTATTGAAACAGAGTTTTGCTCTTGTTGCCCAGACTGGTGTGCAATGGCACGATCTTGGCTCACCATAACCTCCACCTCCCAGGTTCAAGCCATTCTCCTGCCTTAGCCTCCCGAATACCTGGGATTACAGGCATGTGCCACCACACCTGGCTAATTTTGTATTTTTAGTAGAGACGGGGTTTCTCCATGTTGGTCAGGCTGATCTTGACCTCAGGTGATCCACCTGCCTCAGGCTCCCAAAGTGCTGGGATTATAGGCATGAGCCACCTCGCCCGGCCGAGCATGTTCTATTTTTACGACCAGAAGGAAATAATTTTTGCAAAAGAAGACGAATTTCGTAGGAAGGAGAGAACACACGGAAAAAGGCTGCATTGCCTAGTACAGAAACTGGCACACAGAAGGTGTTTAATAAATGCTGCCCATAAGGCTAGAGATGAGCTCCAGGTTCTATTTCTCTGGGTTCTATTTCATAAACAAGATTAGAAATGCAGGCTTTGGCAATAGACCTGGTGGTGTTGCCACTTACTGGCTATGTGACTTCGGGAAAATAATTTAACTTTTTTTTTTTTTTTTAAATAAAAAGACAGGGTTTCACCATGTTGGTCAGGCTGGTCTTGAACTCCCAACCTCATGTGATCCACATGCCTTGGCCTCCAAAGTGCTTGGATTATAGGAATAATTTAACTTTTTGAGCCTCAGTGTCCTCATCTGTATAATGGGTGGAGTAAGTACTGATATCTTCTTCATAGGGTGTCCGTGAGGAACAAATGAAGTATTAAATATAAGTCACCTTGAACAGTGTTGGTGCGTGCTAGCACCCAATAGATACCTTCTATTAACCTTGAGCAAGGTCCGGGTCCTCTCAGGTCTTGAGTGCTTTCTGAATGTAGTCACCTCTGGAAGTTCTGAGGGCATCAGAGAGTGCAAAGGAAAGGTACTTGTGCTGCCTTGCCTCTTGAAGACCACCCCCCACCTCACCTCCAGCACAAGGACTGTGGTACTTCTTAAGCTTCAAAGTCATGGGAGATGGAAGAGGACTGGGTCACTGTGTTTGGGGAGTGCTGATTAAGGGGTTTGTCTCCATCCAGGTCCTGGCCGTGGGGAGCCTGACATTTTGACGAATGAGCTTCAACTCTATGGAGGTAATCAGATGCCCAGTGGCTTTGGAGAAAACAGATGAAGGAAAGGAGGGCTTTGCTGGGCAGAAACAAGGTCATGAGGATGTTCCATGAGCTGAAAAGTCCCAGGCAAACACAGGGGATGTGGCGAGTTGGGTGGTTATAACAGTGGCAGGTGGGGGTGTGGGTACTTTTTGCCATGAGACTGTCTTGAGGAAATCCTGCATTTCCTTCTGAGCTATAACCTTGACTTATGGGGTGACCGTGAAGAGTCACCCACCTTTCTGGGCCTCAGCTCCTCAACCAGCAGAATGGGACATGCTTGGTACCCCCTCTCTTGGAATACTGGGCTGTTTCAACATACAAGGAAAAATTAAGGATCTGATCTCCACAATACCTATTTTACAGTATAATTATTTCCAACACCCTGATTACTACAATGAGGAGGCATCAACATGGCACTTTGGTTGGTAGCACTAGGGTGAAATAGAACTTGTAGAATTAACTCTTTTGCCAAAGAACATGACAAATGCACACTATCAGATAAGAAAGCCTTTATATCTGTGTTTAATCCAATGTTTCCAAAATCTACATAGTCTCCTAATGCCGGGTCATAACCTAAGTAAAACTGGAAAACACTTACGTATATGCTAAAGAAGAGACTTCATTTGTTGTGTATCAAATACAACCAATGACTGCCTCTGGGTAAGCGGTATTGTGGGTATTTTTAAATTTTTTTAGCGACAGAGTCTCTCTCTGTTGTTCAGGCTACAGTGCAGTGGCGTGATCATGACTCACTGTAGCCTCAGCCTCCTGGGCTCAGGTGATCCTGCCACCTCAATCTCCCAGGTAGCTCGGACTATAGGTGTGTGCCCCCACATCCGGCTAGTTTTTTGTAGTTTTTAACAGAGACAAGGTTTTGCCATGTTACCCAGGCTGGTCTTGAACTACTGAGCTCAAGTGATCCTCCTACCTTGGCTTCCCAAAGTGCTAGAATTACAGGTGTGAGTCACTGCACCTGGTCCTTCCTTTCTTTCTCCTTCCTTCCTTTTCTTTCTCTCTTTCCTCTCTTTCTTTCTTTTTTGTTAAAAAAAAAAACAAGTATAACCTGGTTTAGAAAAGTTGTTCATCACTTAAGTAATTTAAGAAAGGCTCCACTGGGTACAAAATAAGATAAACTGTTAGGTTTATGCATATTGTAAAATATTTTTCTTATTACCTAATTCATATTCGCCATAGGAAATGTAGATACTGTCACTTATTCACGAATGACTTCTTTTCCCCAGACATTGGAGATGCTTAGTAAACTGCACTGCTTGAGTCTCATTTCATGTTGTCCTTGGTGTGTTCTCTGCATCTCCGTATCGGCCCCTCTGGTCCCTTTGCAGATGGTGTTCAGTGTGCTGAGTGCCTATTGTCACATGCTAAGTGCCCCTTGTGGTGTTTGTGTCCTAGGGCTGCCCTGAGGGACAGGAAATGTACAGAAGTTGGGGCCTGATGGTGGGAAGATCATGGAAGTGCCTGTCTGCCCTTGAGGGGAAGAAGATGAGAGGCTAGGAACAAGGTCACCAGGGAACTAGAACAGCCACCAAAAACCACATGGTGAATGGTGTGGGAAGGACACTCAGGACTGGATTAATGCAGAGATGGCAGCTCAGGTCTTTAGGGCTCAACTCACCCTCAGCAGCCCAGACAAATGGCTCAACAATCAGGCTGGGAGCCATGGATCCAGGTGTGCAAGCCAGCTTGGCTCCCACATGCTCTGAGCCTGGTAGGTCTGGGAGCCACCAAGATGGCATGAGCTTGGAGTTGCCTGTCTAGTCCAGAGTTCTATGGGTAAAAGGCAGCAGGTATCATCACCTGCATCTGGATAGCCTGGAGCAGGTACATGCAAATGGGTGGCCCAGGTGGGCACATGCTTTTTATCTGGCTCACAGAATTTTTTTTTTTTTTTGGCAGAGTGGGGAGATTTGTTTTTTATTTTTTATTTGTTTTTTATTTTTTGTGTTTTGAAATGAGGTCTCACTCTGTCACTCAGGCTGGAGTATAATGGTGCCATCTCGGCTTGCTACAACCTCCACTGCCCGGGCTCAAGTGATTCTCCTGCCTTAGTCTCCTGAGAAGCTGGGACTACCGGCATGTGCCATCATACACAGCTAATATTTATATTTTTGGTAGAGACAGGGTTTTACCATGTTTCCCAGGCTGGTCTCAAACTCTTGGACTCAAGTGATCTACCCACCTCGGCGTCCTAAAGTGCTGGGATTACAAGCGTGAGCCACTGCACCTGGCCCACACAGAATGCTTTTTTAAAATGATGATTGTGTGGCTGCGCACGGTGGCTCACGCTTGTAATCCCAGCACTTTGGAAGGCTGAGACAGGCAGATCATGAGGTTGGGAGTTCGAGACCAGCCTGGCCAACATGGCAAAACCCTGTCTCTACTAAAAATACAAAAATTAGCTGGGTGTTGTGGCACACATCTGTAATCCCAGCTACTTAGGAGTCTGAGGCAGGAGAATCACTTGAACCAGGGAGGTGGAGGTTACAGTGAGCTGAGATCACACCACTACACTCCAGCCTGGGCAACAGAGTAAGACTGTGTCTCCAATGAATAAATAAGTAAATAAATAAAATGATGATTGTGAGAGTCAGACACGGTGGCTCACACCTGTAATCCCAGCTACTTGGGAGGCTGAGGCAGGAAGATCACTTGAGCACAAGAGTTTGAGACTGCAGTGAGTCATGATTGCACCACTGACTGCAACCTGGGTGACAGGGAGAGAAACCATCTCTAAATAAATAAATTTTTAAAATAAAATTATGAATGTGCATATATTTCATCAATTCTATACCACATTTTTTTCACATTTGAATATTTCTGAAATCAAGATGCATCTCTTATTTTTATTTTTATTTTTTTATTTATTTATTTATTTTAAAAAGACAGGGTTTCACCATGTTGGTCAGGCTGGTCTTGAACTCCTGACCTCAGGTGATCCACCCACCTTGGCCTCCAAAGTGTTTGGATTACAGGCATGAACCACTGCACCTGGCCCAAGATGCATCTTAAAAATCACTGGCAGAGCTAAGCACCATAGCTCACGACTATAATCCCAGCACTTTGGGAGGCCAAGGTGGGCGGATTGCTTGAGCCCAGGAGTTCAAGACCAGGTGGGGCAACATAGCAAGACCCTATTTCTATTAAAAAAAAAATCACTGGCAACTTACTTATACCTGGCAGGGATTTTTCTTATATAGTAGCACATAAAATAATGTCATGTGTCACAGCAATGGCATTTTCATTCATGGAATACAAGAGTTGTCAAACTTTATTACACTCAGGAAGTTTATCTGAAAACCTGGCTTTTCAGGGGTAATTGACAGACCTGTAAGAGTGGGCAGGCGTTCCTACTGCAGCTTTCCGGGGCTGGTGGGTGGCGGTTGCCCCTTTAGTTGGAAAAGGAACCTTCCAGCCAGCTCCATTCCCCACCTGGCCCACTCCAGATTAAGTGAAAAGTCTCCGAACAGAATCCACCTTCCTTGAAGTATGACTTCTCCCACCCCAGAGATCATGGGTTTATGATCACTGATTTCCTTTCTGCGCAGATGCTCCGGGAGAGGTGGTACCCGCTGGGGAATCAGGTGAGTGTCCAGTTAGGGGAGAGAGGTCTTTGGAGCTCATGTTGAGCCGGGTCTAGGTATCAAGTCTCCCCCAAGAAAGCCAGCTCCTGTTGGGGTACCTGGCTGTGAGCAACAGGAGCCCAAGGTCCACTGAGCGTAGGCTCATCAAGCAGCCTGGGCAAGCTGCGTCATGAAGCAGGGAGCCTGGGGAGCCTGGAAAGGTGTCCCAGCAAGACGCAAGGAGATTACAACCAGTCATCAATAGAGAGAAGGATCCCTTGGGGACTGCAGAATTCCATGGGGATATATTTTTAGGTCACCTATAGCCTTTCCCAGAGTAGAGGTACCTGTTAAGTACTCCAAGCTGGGTTGGGCACTAATGTTGAGTTTCTTGTTTCCAGGACTCCGAAGGAGAAGCTCTGACCCACCAAATGGTAAATATACAAGCCCAAATAGCAGAGCCAGAGCGGGTCTGGATTCCAGATGATGGGTTGGGACCTCGGACAGCCTGAGAGGGTGGGTTATTCCCAGCAGGAATGCTGTCGCCAGCCAATGTCACTATGATTCAGGAGGGGGATCTCCAGTGCAGGGGAAATGGAATGGAAGGCAGACTCAGGCCTGAGGAAGGAGGAGGGGGTCAGTGGGCGTTCCATGGACAGCACCCCCATCATCATGGTTTGGCTTGACGGGTCCTGCAGTGAGTGCCCTCTGACTCAGGAATAAATACCCAGGATATTAATTCTCAATGAAGCAGGGAAGAGGAAATCCCACCTGCCATCCTGCATCAAAGTTAAACACTCGTCTCTTTCTTGTTCCTAAGGAGAAGTGGAGGCCTCTCAGTTAAGAAGACTGAATATAAAGAAAGATGGTAAGGAACTTGGTGTTGCATAGCTGCTTTTTCCTGTCTGGCTAGATTTCCAGGGGTGAAATGTGGCTGGTGGCCTAGCACAGCAGTAATCATAGCCCACCTCTGTCGTGTGCCCTGCAGTTTACACATCACTCAGCTCAGAATCACCTCCAGAGGGTGGGACAATCATTCTCATTTTTCAGATATGAAAACTGAGGTTCAGGTTTGGGGAGTGGCCTTACATCTTGTGAGTGGCGTGGCCTGAGCCTGAGGCCTGGTCCTCTGCTCTTTCTTCTATGCACAGTCACTACGATGGTAAATGTCTTCCAGGCCTTGTGGCCAGGATGGGGAGCTCCAGGTCAGCTGAGCTCCTTTCTAGGAAAGGAGCAGTGAAAGCAAGGAGGGACCTCCCTGCTCCAGGCCTGGAATCCATGGGCACTTCCAGGAGGAAGTTGGGCGGGGTGGGGAAGGAAAGACTGGTATTTGACACAGAGACTTTTTGTAATTAAAAAACAGAAAAAAAAGGCGGGGGAGGGGCAAGGCATGGTGGCTCACAGCTGTAATCCCGATACTTTGGGAGGCTGAGATGAGAGGATTACTTGAGGCCAGGAGTTTGAGACCAGCCTGGGCAACATAGAGAGACCTTGTCTCTACTAAAAATTTAAAAACTTAGCTGGGTGTCATGGCATGCACCTGTAGGCCTCGCTACTTGTGAGGCTGAAGCAGGAGAATTGCTTCAGCTTAGGACTTCAAGGCTGCAATGAGCTGTGATCCCACAACTGCACTCCAACCCAGGGTGACAGAGCAAGACCTTGTCTCCCCTGCCAAAAAAAAAGAGAGGGAAAGCAGCAGATAGTGATTCCCCACCCCTGCCTTCACAGATGAGTTTTTCCATTTCGTCCTCCTGTGCTTTGCCATTGGGGCCTTGCTGGTGTGTTATCACTTCTATGCAGGTGAGGGGAGGAACCCTGGGGAATATGCAGGGGGGTGACATGGGGGGAGGGACAGGGGCATCATGACCTGGAGGGTGACCTTTCCCTCCCTCACTGCCCTTCCAGACTGGTTCATGTCCCTTGGGGTTGGCCTGCTCACCTTCGCCTCCCTGGAAACCATTGGCATCTACTTCGGACTAGGTAAGCCCCTCCCCAGCATACACACACACACACACACCACACACACACACACACCACACACACACACACCACACACACACACACACACACACACACACACACACAGAGTCTCTTGGAGAGGTGGTGGGTAGAAATATTCATTTTCATACTCATTCAAGTATGGACCAGAGAGTCACAATCTAGACTTTCCAAAAAAATTTTCCGGCTGGGCGCCGTGGCTCACACCTGTAATCCCAGCACTTTGGGAGGCCAAGGTGGGTGGATCACAAGGTCAGGAGATTAAGACCATCCTGGCTAACATGGTGAAACCTCGTCTCTACTAAAAGTATAAAATAAATTAGCTGGGCGTGGTGGCAGGCACCTGTAGTCCCAGCTACTCAGGCTGAGGCAGGACAATCACTTGAACCCAGGAGGTGGAGGTTGCAGTGAACCGAGATTGTATCATGCACTCCAGCCTGAACCAGAGTGAGACTACATCTCAAAAAAAAAAATTTTTTTTTCCTTATGCTTATGTTTCCTTCCTGACCACTTTCAAGGTCAATGTGAGGTCACTGGCAAAACCCTGTAGGAAAAATGGACAGTTCCATACAATGCAACAGTAACAGGGGCAAACAGGCTGGGCCCAGGGCACACATCTGTAATCCCAGCTAATCAGGAGATTGGGGCAAGAGGATCGCTTGAGCCCAGGAGTTCATCCAGCCCGAGCAAGATAGTAAGACTCTTCCTGTAAAATAAATATACAAAAGTGGCAAGCAAAATACAGCTAGCCAGATACTGAAAACAAGTTAGTTAATGGAGTTGGGAACTGAATTTGGCAAGTGAGCTTCCTGCCACTGTTCCTGCTGTTCACTGTTGTTGTTTTTAGTAATAAGAACTCTAGTGCCGTTATCTAAGCTTAAGCTGCTGCCTGGAATTCCACCATCAGAGCTTTGTTTGCGTGAGTTAGCCCTTGTCCAGTGGTGGCCAGGTACCCCTTGTGGGGGCACAAACTTAACTCACTTTTTTCTTTGCTTCTGAGCAGTGTACCGTATCCACAGCGTCCTGCAAGGCTTCATCCCCCTCTTCCAGAAGTTCAGGCTGACAGGTAACTTTTAAAGTTTTCCTGTGTTCACTCTTTTTCTCCCTAGCAGGGTCTTCATTTAGAAAGAGGCTTAGCATACAGGAAAAAACACAGCCTGGAGGCAAAGGACCCTGGTTTGAGTCCTACCTCTGCCAATTTACTAGTTCTGTGACTCTGGATGAGCCGTGTAGCCTCAGTTTCCTCCCTCTGTAAAATGGGTGTAATACTTTCCTGCTGCACAAGGGTGCAGTTTTCTTCAATGATGTTTCAGGGTGTTGTGAAGATCAAGTGGGGAATGGATGCAAAGGCCTGAAGTGTGAAACAGTAGAAAAATGAGAGGCGTCTGGTTAGTCTTCATTCTCTTATAGAACTTGGCACTTCCCCAAATGCGATCTTCTCCATGGCTGTACTTGCCTAATAGCAACTGGGAAGGTAGGCTTTAGCAATCTTACACTTGACCAATGGGAAACTGAGACTCAGAGAGGTGGAGTGACTCACCCACAGTCACACAGCTTGAGTGGCTTGGCTGGGTGAAAGCACATTGTCTTTGTTGACTGATAGCTCTGTGCCTACCTTATGCCTCTGAATGGAGATGCCAAGTGGCTGTGTGGCTGTGCTGGGAAATATCTGTCTCCTTTAATCCATGTAACGAAGAAAAATAAAAGTAGCTGCTATGACTGTGGGTCACTGAGACCCACGGCTTCTGGGGTGATTACATCATGCCAGCTGTGAGGGGTACTTGGGCATCTGAGGTGATGGTAGGGATGAAGCCTGACTGCTTTCAGAATCCCATCCCATCCTGTGGCCTTTGCCTTCCAGGATTCAGGAAGACTGACTGAGGCCACTGCCAGGTGGGCAGCAGAGGCAGGCCCCAGTGTGACCACCAATGTGATCCCTGAGCCCACAAGCACAGAGCAGCATTCTGAGAGATGTGCAGGAGGCCAAGCCAGACCAATAAAGAGAACACCTTTCCTTCCATGAAGTCTGAATGGTGGCACCAGCGCTGGCAGGGGCATCATTGGGCAGTACTGCTGTGCAACCCAGCTGCCAGGATGGAAGGCAGAGGGTGGGTGTGGGGCCTGAGCCTTCACAGTACCTGGACCAGCAGGAAGATTCTGGAAGGTCACTGGAGGAGACCCTGGGCTCTGCAAGCTGTGATCAATCTGTTTGGGCTCTTTTTTTTTTGAGACGGAGTCACCAGGCTGGGATGCAGTGGCATGATATTGGTTATTGGTTCACTGCAACCTCTGCCTCCTGGGTTCAAGTGATTCTCCTGCCTCAGCATCTTGAGGCTACAGGCATGCACCACCACGCCTGGCTAATTTTTGCATTTTTAGTAGAGATGGGGTTTCGCCATGTTGGCAGGATGATCTTGGTCTCTTGACCTCGTGATCCACCCGCCTCGGCCTCCCAAAGTGCTGGGATTACAGGCATTAGCCACCGCACCCAGCCCTGGGCTCATAGTTTTTCTGAAATCCCAGACTATACAGGTGTGCTCTCAGGTGCTACAGAGCCATCCGGGAGAGACGAATAGTCCACTGCCCTGAGGCAGGGAGCCACCAGGCTGGGGCCCCCTGGTGAACCTGATGCAGGTAAGATGCTGGGGACTAAAACCATTGTTTTTTTTTGCTCCCAACAAAAAGGCAGGAAAATGATCATCATAAACAAAATGGCAGCCAGGCATGGGGGCTCACACCTGTTATCCTAGCATTTTGGAAGGCTCAGGCAAAGGGTCACTTGAAGCTAAGAGTTCAAGACCAGCCTGGGCAACATAGTGAGACCCCCCCCACCAATCTTTACAATTTTTTTTTAATGACCAGATGTGGTGGCACATACCTGTACATACCTGTAGTTCCAGCTACTCAAGAGGCTGAGGCAGGAGGACTGCTTGAGCCCAGGAGTTCAGGGCTGCAGTGAGGTATGATCAAGCCACTGCACTCCAGCCTGGGTGACAGAGCAAGACCCTTTCTCTCTAAAATAATTTTTTTAAAACAAGGGCCAGATGTGGTGGCTCACACCTGTAATCCCAGCACTTTGGGAGGCTGAGGTGAGCGGATCACCTGAGGTCAGGAGTTCAAGAACAGCCTGACCAACATGGAGAACACTCATCTCTACTAAAAATACAAAATAGATAGGTGTGGTGGTGCATGACTATAATCCCAGCTACCCCGGGGGCTGAGGCAGGAGAATCGCTTGAACCTGGGAGGCGGAGGTTGCAGTGAGCCAAGATTGCACCATTGCAGTCCAGCCTGGGCAACAGGAGTGAAACTCCATCTCAAACCAAAAAAATTGACAAATAAAAATTGTATATACTTATAGTGTACATGTTTTGAAACATGTGGAATGGCTAAATCAAGCTAATTAACATATGTATCACCTCACGTACCTTTTTTATGATGTACTGTATACTTGCAATGTATTATATACTTGCAAGTGTAAAAACCCACTTGTTTTTATTGTTTTGCAAGTATACAATATATCGTTATTAACTATGGTCACCATGCTATGTGATAGATCTCCTGAACTTGGACTGAGTTCTTAATGGTCACAGCCATGCTGTCCTCAAAACTCAGAAAGGTAACTTCTGAGGCTTTGATTTCAAGTTCTTGTATGTAACCTACTTTAAAGGGAGCCCAGAGAACACAGATCAAATATTTGTAATGAACTTGCTGACTTGAGAACAATGTGGTTAGCCTCATTTTATGGGAATGATGGGTACCTGTGGCCAGCTCTGCCACTGCCTGGCTGTAACTTTTTTTTTTTTTTAAAGAGTTTTCCTGTTTTGCCCAGGCTGGAGTGAAGTGGTGAGATCCTGGCTCACTGCAACCTCCACCTCCCATGTTCAAGTGATTCTCCTGCCTCAGCCTCCTAAGTAGCTGGAACTATAGGTGCCCACCACTATGCCCGGCTAATTTTTGTATTTTCAGTAGAGACGGGTTTTCACTATGTTGACCAGGCTGGTCTCAAACTCCTAACCTCAGGTGATCCACCCGCCTCGGCCTCCCAAAGTGCTAGTATTAGAGGCTTGAGCCATTGCACCCAGCACTGGCTGTGATTTTGGTCAAGTCCTCCCCTCTCCCAGGCTCAATGTCCTCATCTGTACAATGGGGAGCATAACAGTGCCCACCTCACAGTGTTATGTTGAGAATTGCATGAGATAATAAAGTCTTATGCACAGACTCTGGCACATAGGTGATGCTCAATCAATGGGCATTATTACATCAGACAGGAGCATAAATCAGATCCCCTTAGGGTCAGGCAGGCAGAATCAGCAAGATGTAGAAAAATGGGGGCTGGGTGCAGTGGCTCACACCTGTAATCCCAGCACTTTGGAAGGCCAAGGTGGTGGATTGCTTGAGCTCAGGAGCGTGAGACCAGCCTGGGCAACGTGGCAAAACCTTATCTCTACCAAAAATACAAAAATTATCCAGGTATGGTGGCATGTACCCGTGAACATGTGAACTAGTTGCCTGGGAGGCTGGAGTGGGAGGACTGCTGGAGCCCAGGAAGTCAAGGCTTCAGTGAATCATGATCATGCCACTGCACTCCAGCCTAGGTGACAGAATGAGACCCTATATCAAAAAAATAAAAATGAGGCCAGGTGTGGTGGCTCACGCCTGTAATCCAAGCACTTTGGAGGCCAAGGTGGGCGGATCACCTGAGGTCAGGAGTTCAAGACCAGCCTGACCAACATGGTGAAACCCCATCTTTATTAAAAAAAAAAAAAATATATATATATATACATAAATGAAAAAAGTGGGGAGCAGGAAGAGGGGAACAGAAGAGTGAATGCCTGACCAAAGTGGGCAGCTGCTGTCTAGCAATTCCAGATGAGAACACAGCTGAGTGGGATCAGTCAGCCAAGAGAACAAAAACCACACCAGGTGCTTTAACAGAGAGAAGTTAGTAGAGGAGATGTGTTAACGAGGTGCAGAAGAACTGGAAAAGCAGAAAGGAACCGTGGTATCACAAAGCATAGCTGAGGGAACTGCCTAGGACTGGAGGGAAAAAGGAAAGGTTGACGCTATTAGAAGTGAAAAGATTGGCCAGGCATGGTGGCTCACTCCTGTAATCCCATCACTTTTGGATGCCGAGGCAGTCGGATCACGAGGTCAGGAGATCAAGACCATCCGGGCCAACATGGTGAAACCCCGTGTCTACTAAAAATACAAAAAAAATTAGCTGGGCATAGTGGCGCACGCCTGTAGTCCCAGCTACTTGGGAGGCTGAGGCAGGAGAATTGCTTGAACCCAGGAGGCAGAGATTGCTGTGAGCCAAGATCGTGCCACTGCACTACAGCCTGGGTAACAGTTCAAGACTCTGTCTCAAAACACACACACACACACACACACACACACACACACACACACACACACGAAGTGAGAAGATTGAGAGCATATCCTCCAGAGCTGGGACACAGACCTCTGGGGAAAGGGCACTGCTCAGCTGGGAGGGGTCTCTGAGGGGCCTGAAGAGGCTGGTTCTGCAAGTATAAGACCAATGGGGTCAGATCTCTAATTTCTTAGCAGAAGCCCCAAATCTAGGGGCAACTATTTTTTTTTTTTTTCATTTCAACTTCTGCTATGGAAAACAGTACAGGGACTCCTCAAAGAGCTAAAAATAGACTTACCATATGATCCAGCAGCTCTACTTCTGCACATATGCCCACAAGGGACTTGAAGGGATAACTGTACACCCATTTCCACAGCAGCATTATTTCCAGTAGCCAAATAGGGGAAGCTCAAGTGTCCATCAGTGGATGAGTGAATAAACAAAGCATGGTGTATCATCAGCTTTTAAAAAAGGAAATTGGCCGGGCGCGGTGGCTCACACCTATAAACCCAGCACTTTGGGAGGCCGAGACGGGTGGATCACGAGGTCAAGATATCTAGATCATCCTGGTCAACATGGTGAAACCCCATCTCTACTAAAAATACAAAAAATTAGCTGGGCATGGTGGCGCACACCTGTAGTCCCAGCGACTCGGGAGGCTGAGGCAGGAGAATTGCCTGAACCTAGGAGACGGAGGTTGCGGTGAGCCGAGATCTCGCCATTGCACTCCAGCCTGGGTAACAAGAGTGAAACTCCATCTCAAAAAAAAAAAAAGGAAATTATGGCCAGGTGTGGTGGCTCACGCCTGTAATCCCAACATTGGGTGGCCAAGGCGAGCAGATCACCTGAGGTCAGGAATTCAAGACCAGCCTGACCAATATGATGAAACCCCATCTCTACTAAAAATACAAAAATTAGCCATGTGTGGTGGCATGTGCCTGTAATCCCAGCTACTAGGGAGGCTGAGACAGGAGAATCGCTTGAACCTGGGAGACAGAGGTTGCAGTGAGCTGAGATCATGCCATTGCACTCCAGCCTGGGCAACAAGAGCAAGACTCCATCTCAAAAAAATAAAATAAAATAAAATTTACTGTGGTAAATTTGAACCTGGGAGGCAGAGGTTGCACCTCTGCAATTGATTCCCAGCTCATTCCCAGTGGAGCAGGCAGGGGTCTGGTTACACCTCAGGTATCAAGTACATCAAGTACATCTCTGGAGCCCCAGTCCAACGTGTGGGCTAAAAATAAAGCATTGAATCCTGAGCCCAGGAAGGCAGGGTAGGAAAGAGGAGGGGTGAAGAGGAGGTGATGTGCTTCGGTCTCTGGCTGCCCTGGATGCTGTGTGCTGGATTTCTGCTCTGATCACAGTAGAGGGAGGGCAAGAGTAAGGATTTCAAAACCATACAAATCAGCATGAGCTGGGAAGAAAGGAGAGAAGTTCAAGAGGACTGTGGCAGTTATTTATCCTGTTCTCCCCACACAGCCCCTGGAATCTTCTGTCTACTCCGAAGGATCTGGGCCTGTACCAAGATGGAGCAAAGGGATGCTGCTGACTAAACCTAGGAAGCTGGGGGAAGGACTTAGCATTGGTCAGGCACGGTGGCACACACCTGAAATCCCAGCGCTTTGGGAAGCCAAAGCGGGTGG